CGGGTGCCCTTTGCGGCGTTCGGGGAGAAGCTATGCCCGGCTCCTCACCGGCGTGTCAGTTCTGGCCGGTAAGCGGTACGGTGAGCGGTGCGAGTTGTAGCCTTTTCTTCTGTTGATTTTTAGTGTAGGTTTTTAAGTGAAACGGCAGCGATGTCTGATGCGGCGGAGCGAAAGGAGGGTGGTATAAACGGTTAAATTGGGGCGCAAGGATGGGAGCAGCGTGGTTTTGTCTGCGCTGAGGGTTTCTGTGCCTTTTACCTCCGGTAGGCTGGAGCCAGGGATGTGGCTGGAGCCGGCGATGGTAATTTCCCAAGAGTTCACTGCCATGAGAACTAAATAGTGGTTTAGCTGAAGGGGCTAAATGATCACATTTCCAGGCTTCGGGGGGGGGGAGGGGGTAGAGATAGGCAAACCGACATCTTGGGCTTCTCTGGGTTTAAGCCTCACTAATTAAAATTGAAGGAGTTTCTCTGAGCAGTCTACAGATGTGCCATTTTAAACAACCTTATTAGTCTGTAATTTCTTGCATAAATGTTTTAAGCCAAAAGCTGAAGATGGTGTGGTGTGTGTTTATTGTAACTTCGGAAAACTCGATGGTGTTTTACTTCAAACTAGTTCCAAAGTGATATCTGGGAACATCACTGTTGATCACCTTTATCTGTTGCAGGTAAAGGTGGTCCTCTCTGGTTTAAATCCTTTTCTCTAGTTGTGTTTTGATCCATAAAGCACAACTAAAATACATGTGATTTACATGTGTTTTCAAAGGTTGTCTTAACTTACAGGTAATTCATCAGAGCGTTATCAGTTTCTGTTACTTGAGGGCAATGAATTAAGGCGTGTATATTTCTCACTGAACAGAGTTGCCCACTTTGTCTTTCTTTTTTCATTGATAACATGATGCTCATCCTGCTCAACAGATAAACCCCCAGAAACTTGCACAGCACTTGTGATATGGTGCTCTTGTTCAGAGGAGAAAAAAGTGCAAATAAGGCCACAAGTAGCACTTGCAGTTGATGTCTTGGAAAGTGTGCGAAAGGCATTTGTATTCTATCAGAGTTGGAACAAACTGAGCCAAATGATGTCATTATTCTATTAAAACCTTTCTCAGTTGGTACAGGTATGCATTTGGCTGCTTTAAATACTTTTAAGTTTTCATTTTCATGTGCTGCTTGGTCAAGAGATGTAATTCTGAGGTGATTTTTTTTAAAGATTAGGTCACACATACAGAAAGTGAAAGAAAACCAAGCATGTGTACTGCAGGAGAGGGAATAGAGTGGGCAGGGTAATGCAGGAATGAAGAAGAAATGGCTTGGGAGTGCCAAGTGGTAGATGTGTCAGTGTCACTATTTTTTTAGTAAACCAGGTATTCCTAATCCTCCTGCTTTCTCAAGCAGGCCAAGGCATCATTCTTGCTGTGTTTGAAAGATTGCATCCTGCGTGCTCTCCTAATTTTGTAGACCACTTATTATCTGTTATTTTACACTTCTATTTAGTTTGCTTGCTTTACACCTTAAAGTTGTTTGTGTTCCCCATCTGATAGAGTGAACTCACTTTAAATGATTCAATTTTGCTTTATGTAAGACCAGGTAACTTTATACATACGGTGTCTGCAATGGGTTGTGTTCTAGATCCTAACTGTATATGGTAGTCGAAGGACAGAGTGATGTTAATGCAGATGGTATTGATTGGTTTTCCCCTTTCAAACTCTTAAAGAACAGTTTGATGGGTTGGGAGGCATTTGCTGCTTTCATCCCTGTCTCTGTCTAGACCTGCTATATGCTCTGCAGGCAGAGGGCTTGCTTTAATTAAGTTAAATGCAGAAGATCGATGGTCGATGCTGCAGTGCTACAGGGCAACTAGAGTAGTTTCATCAAGGTAACCCCTGCTGCAAGAGGTGTTTCTCTGGTGGTTATAAAATTAATTTGAAAGTTTCTCACGTACTATCAATTGACTTAAAAGTGCAGCTGTGATTTTTAGAGGTATTTGGGATGCAGGACCTGCTTTTTCTCTCACCTGGAAAGTTTTAAATGTGAATTATTTTGTCACTGGAGATTTGCGTAGAGACAAAAAATCAAATATGTGAATGAGCTTTGTAATATGGTGGAATTTAGCAGTTCCAGGCCTAAAGTTTATGGTTATGGGGTGCTGGTTGTTTTGGTTTTTTTTCTTAAGTCACCATTTCAAGGGCCTGAAACTCACTTTCAATATGCAATTTGCTAGTGAACATAATGGCCAGGAGGAAATACCCTGCTTGCTGGGTCTCAGTAGAAGATGCCCTGCTTCATCAAATGGACTGAATGATAACACTTTTGCCATGTGAAAGTGGCAAGATTTCCTTGTTCTGTTTGTTTTCCTGTTAATGAGCAACTCTGCAGGTAGAATTAAAATGTAACTGTTTGGTTATGCTTTAGGTACACCCTTATCTAGTTGGTTTCGCTTTGCTGTACCAAAATGAGCCATACAGCTACAAGAGTTGTTACCAGTATGGCCAAGCCCCATCTCAGTGAATTTCAGTTTCTGAAAGTGTCAGAACAATTTAAACAGTGATGCATAGCCAAGGGCTGACAGGACATGATAATCTCCTTGAAACACAAATTCCCTTATCATATATATTCTGAGTTGAGGCGACAAACTTGAAAAATTAGTCCTGCTTCTTAACGAGCATTTGATAGTTTTGGAGATTCCGTGTCTAGTTCAAAATGTGTAAACAACTAAATTGTTATTATTTTTAACCCATTCTGCTTCACTAACTATCTCCACAGTAGGCTGGCTCTACATAAGCATAACACAGAGGCTTACCTGGGGCTGTTGTGCTCAGGAATGAATTCTGAAAGCTTTTAGAATGGAATTGTGTGCTGGGATGTACAGCAGTCCTTGAGGCTGGGAGCAGGAGGCTCCTTGCTGCAAATTTGCCACCCTGGAATGACATCATGGTGATCTGGCAAAGAGGCTTAGCTTGTATTTTAGTATATAATGTATATGTTTATATTTATTATTTTTTTTATACATGTGTGATTTACATGTGTCATCAAAGGTTGTCTTAACTTACATGTAATCCATCAAGGCTTTTATCAGTTTCTGTTACTTAAGGGCAATGAATTAAGGTGTGTATGTTTCTCACTGAGCAGAGTTGCCCAAGTAATATTACAAACCTCTACTGTGTTCTATTCTGTCTGTATAGCATTTCTGTCTGTGATCTTATGAAGGACTTTTTGGCAGTATTGTTTGGTTTCAGGTGTGCTGGCTGCATTAACCTTAAACTTGGGGTTATGTTTTGTGATTTGCTTAAAAATATGTGAAGCTTGATTTTCTTGTTTGTGTTTTTAAGTGGTGGATTGGAAACAGGCAGTCAGTCGTGTGTGAAGTAACATGCTTCTGCTTGTATCAGCTTACATGAAAACTTCACCTTTCTTAAAACACAGAAGTTCTTTCTTTCCTTCTTTTTGGTAAATGTGCTTTTGTCCATCTGTCAGTCTCTATTTTCTGAGCTTCTCAGCTTTAAATTTCTCACAGATGAGGAAGAGCCAGACTAGGCATGAGAGTCTTTTAGTATGTTTCGAGGCTGGTTGGCGTTTTGGTGGTGTTTGGGTTTTTTTGGTTGGTTTTTTTTTTGCAATTTAGTCAACAGCATAGTTGGTAACTGCAGAGAGCAGCATTGGGAAGTGTGGCAGGCATAACGTTACAGAACTTTGGTGTCTACATTTACATTTGATGTGTTGCTTTCAGTTTATAGCATGTTTGCATCTGAAAATTGATTTAAGAATCTACTGGAGGAACTGGAGAAGAATCTGTTGAGATTTGGCCTGAGTCGTACAGGTGGTGTATGGAGTTTTACTACATGTGCTGTGTTGGCTTTCAGCTAATGAAAGCTTGTCCCCAGCAAGTTCGTTTGAAGTCAAAGCCCTGTGGCTTCTGCTGGTTAAGAATGAATCTTTAAGAATTAATGCCTTTTTCTGTTCTGATCTGAGAAGTCTCCAACTCATGCTCTTGTTTGAGTGTGTCAGTTTGAGGCTAATGAAATCAAGAAAAAGTTGATCATTTTAGAAATACCTTGTCTGAGGGTGTAGTCTGATAAACTTTTCTCTTGGCAGCAGTATTGATTTAAACCGCTCCTGCTATTTGTTTCCATTTCAATGCTGTTGTCTTTGGTTTGTGTTGGTAAAATATTCTGTGGGCTGGTGTAATAACCAGAGTTATGAATTTCTGGATTAAAAATAACTGCCGGAAGAGATTGTATGCTTTCTGGTGTTGATCAGTACCCCTTTTGGTTCACTGCTCAGCTTTGAAACCTCTGTGCTTATCTGAGTTGAGAAGAAAAGGAAAGGAGGCTGGTAGAGACCTTGCACTGCTTAAACAGGCGCTGCTGCTGCTGCAAGATACTCTTATTAACCAGCTGCCTCTAAGTTTATTTGCAGTTTGAATTTCTAGTACAAGTGCATCACTTGTTTACCAGACCCATACAAATCCAGCTCTATGTTGTCTTCACTCTCACTAGAATGTCTTTCATGCTGTTGCATGCTTTAATTAAGGTTGGATATGAGTATAATTCTCCAGCAGTCTGAGAATCTCTGTGTTACCATTGCTTTTATAGACTACTGGTATATATATGTGTTTGTGTTAATACTGAGAAGCCCTATCCTGAATGAGACCTGCTGTTATCGGTTTTGAAGTAAAATAGAACAGACACACAAATTATTGTTATCTAAAATAAGTAGCAGATGAACGAGAGATTTGGGTGGGAAGGGAATGATGAGGCAGTGCTGCCTGACATGCTACCTCCTTGTGTTCTTTTTACAGTAAACATCATGGGAAAAAGAATTTTTGGAGGATACACATAAGTGCATTTTGCAGGTGTTAGAGAGAACCTCAAGCCTAGGGATAGTCTTAGAGAAAAGCACCAAGGTGCTTGTTTGAGAATCCAATACAAAAGCTTTTCTTTCTTTGTATAAAAATATCTGACTACTTGAAACAATCTTGTAATAGCTCAGTGAAAACAGGTATTGTTAATGTGGTGAGTTTGAGCTTTTTGTTACAGTGAGCACAATTATTTCTGCTTCCTTCTGACAGACCAAAGAGAACACTGTACAGTAAGAAGTATGGAGTGGACCTCATCAGGTACACACATGCTGCCAACACTGTCGTGTACAGCTCCAACAAAATAGATGGTAAGTGATCCACTGGAGTTGAATCTTTTTCATCTCCTTACACTTAAAACTACATGCCCGGATAAATAGCTCTAAAAAGCTGGGGAAAAAGTTATAACAACTTATCACTGATAAACGCACTGTCAGAAACAGAGGAATTAATGCTCAACTGTAATACACAGCTCTGATATTCCCTCGAGCATGCTGATGTGAGTTTTGTTCATTGCTGCAATAACTAAGGGATTAAACATTATTAGTGTGATATACTATTGTTCACTTTGCTGTTTGATACCAGTGCCATCAGCCTTAATTTCTTACATGCAAAATGAGGCAAAAGGGGTATGTGGCAGAAGGTGGGCTACACATTGTAGCTCTGGTGCACACACAAGTCGACTGCAGAGGAAGGGAGGGCAGGAAGTTCAGGCAGCTCAGCAGATCACCGGCAAACCTGGAAGAAGGAGGTCACAGAGCTCTTCTGAGATTGTCTTTGCTTCTGTTAATGTTTCTTGCATGTAATAGGCAGAACACCCATTTTCATGCTATATCTACCCAGTCAGTGACTGTGACGCTCTGTAAATTGGTGACATTGAAGGGCTTGTAGAGCTTGTGACAGGTTCTCTATTAACCTATTTCAGTTTAATCTAAAATTCAAATTTAAGAACTGACACCGTTCACAATGATAGCTACACTAATTCTTCTTAAGGTTGGGAACAGCTCACGTTCATTTCAAATTGTGGCTCAGTTTTGTTTGCTCTAGTCGATCTCGGAGTTTTCCAGTGAACAAGTTTCTTAGCACAGCACTTTACAAATGGGTTTTAACACTGTATTTGTAAACTCTCAATCATTTCTGTAATAGCAGTTTGGTTTTGATTTTTCCTTTGCAGAGATGGATCTTGATAGTTGAGATACTGGTGCCTTGTGGTGTGTACTGGGTTACTTGAGGAAGTTAAAGAAATATGAGTTTAGAGCAGATGGAAGTTAAGAGTTAGGAAGTCAGGTGAAACTAGAAGAAGCTGGTCCTAAAACTAGAGGAACAAAGGAGTTTCCAATGGAATTGGATTTAATGGTGTGAAAGGATTAGAAGTGTGACATGAAACACTTGCCTTTTTAGTCTGTTTCACAGCCTACTTACTATCATTTTTATTAATTCATTACTTTTATGCCACATTTCTGACTTAGCTCTAATTTACAATTAAATAACAACCATTTAATGAAGCATTTTTAATGCCATTTTGAGTTCTTAATTTTTGTTTATAGGCCCTGGTAAGCCTTTCAGGAGCTAAAACTTAAGATGCTTCATCCCGCACGGTTCCATTATGATAAATGCTTGATTAGAAGAAAAGAAAAAGACTGTGAAAGTATTTGTTGTTGTTAAGAACCATAAGCCTAATAAAACCAGCAGTGTGTTCTGAAGGGGTCCACATACTCTGTGGTCCCTAATGCATGCAGTCTTGGGCAATATGCATTGAATTCAACATGATACAGAGTTATCAGGGGAGAAAATTAACCCAGGAGCATGTTACAGGAGTGCTGTTGCTTGCTGCAAGCATTTCATGTGTTGGAGTTCTACTTCTGAAGGTTTCCTCAAGATCTTTGAACCCAGTTCCTCTTGCCTGATTCCAGGCTGAGGTAGTAGTTTGTACAGTTTGAGGGTCTATGATACCACCCGGTACAGGAGATAACTGTACAGGCCACTGCCTTGCCTGGGACAGAGCACTGCCAACAAACAGGCTGACAAAGGATCGCAGTCCCCCAGTGCTTCCTCTTTAGCAAGGAAGATGAAGTTCTGCATGGATACTTCAGGTAATGACAGTTCTTGCAGGAAAAACTAGAGATGTGTTCTAATAACAGGCTTGAAGAATGTTGGGTCTGGCTGTGATGGGATGTGATGCTGTGTTGGGGGTTTGTGGTTTGGACAGTCACCTCAGGTCACTTAGAGCCTTTCAGGATGGTGTGTCACCAGCATCGTGTTTCCAGTTTGATCAGTCAACTTTAGTTTTCTTGTCAGATACAGGAGGGTGGCCTAGAACTGTGCTGTCAGCTTCATGTGAACCCTCAGGCAAAAAAAAACCACTTGTTTTTTTCAGAGAAACTAAATGCGCTAAATGAGCCTTTCAAAAACTTCTAAACACAGGAGCCTGTATGAGTACAAGAGTGCTCTGAGCATATTGCATCCTGTTGGCTCTTGTTCTTCCAAGTCAAAGGTAAAAATGTCCCTTTCCCTCAGTTTATCTGTGGAGCTCCAGCAGGGCTTGTTCCACCAGTATGGAGTCTCTTGTCACTGTCTAGTGCAGGTGCAAAATGCCAATCTCTTCCTTCCAACAGTGTCCTCCAACTAGTGTGAGAAAGGATTTTGCTGGTGCTGCTTTGAGGTTTAAGTTGTGCTCTTCACGTTTCATCACTCAGAGGCATCTGCACATAAAGATTAAAAAGTGGCTTCTGGGCTTTAATAATTGTTTCCTTTCTTTTAATCTTGGGAGAAGGTCTCAACAGCATCTTCTAAAGTTGCAGGCTACTCTTGGTATGTTCATCTGTACTCAATAAAATTATCCCTTGAGAAATGTGCTGCTCTGATGTACTGAGTATGTTTTTAAGATTGCTTTAAGTGGTCTAAGCTTTAGATTACTCCTCTGTCCTCCTCTTAAAGCTTAGCTGCTCTAGGTGCAGAGAATGTGTGAAGCTGTTGATTGTCAGCCTTGTCCTGGCTTTGAAGTTCATGTTTTATCTTCTCTTGGCTAAATGCACATTCACATATTACCTGTGCTTGCTGTTTACTTGGAGACATAGATAAGACAGCAAGATTCAGGCTGTGTGCAAAACAAATAAAATGCTGGTAGTAACAACTTAATAATTTGATACTCCCAATTTTGTGAAATGATGGAATAAAATGTCCTGGTACTTAAACTTTAGCAACTTTGAAATTGACTTGCATAAATCACCTGACAGTTTATGTTTAAGATGTATTATGAATTCAGACTGTGGAAAGTATCTTTTTCTGGTGCCTGATTTCCATTTTTGCCTTGAAAAACAAGTTGGTTTATGTCTGTTTCTAACTTGATTCTGTTTGAAAGTCTGACTTGAAATCAAATGACCAAACTTACTCACTGTGGGAAGATAACTGTGTGGGAAGCAAGTTTACTGCGTGACCACTTCGAGATAATGTTGGATTTGTGGTGTAATGAAGCTTATGGTTTGTTTCTGGTTTCAGATACAATCCGATACCTCTCCCTGCATGACAACAAATATATTCGCTATTTCCCGGGGCATACAAAAAGGTAAGACGTGGCTTGGAGGCAGTGCAGGAGAAGTTGAAATAGTGATTGTAATGAGCTTGAGTTATTTTACATTCAGTTCACTCCAGTTTTTGCTTTGTGTTCATGGCAATTACAAGCTTGTACACAGCTGTTGGGGTAGGTGGTGTTCTCTTTACTTCTTTTGTGTGTCTCTGATGCATGTGGTCTTCTGTGTTGCAGAGTTGTTGCTCTTTCAATGTCTCCAGTGGATGACACTTTCATTTCTGGATCCCTTGATAAAACTATTCGACTTTGGGATCTCCGCTCTCCAAATTGCCAGGTAGGATATCAAATTCATGTACATAGCATGTTTCATTTTCAGTTAGAAAGTTGAAAAATGGACATGTGCTTGTTATAAAACAGAAATACTGCCAGAAATGTCTGTTGCTGGTTTAGTGTTGACACCTTCCTGGAATGCTGAGGGAACCTGGATCAGAAATCTGCATGTTGCATTGTGTAACACCACTTGCTTTTACCTATGGCTTTGTGGAGAGGTGCTGGGAAGAACAGGAAATAACACCCACAGCTGATGAAACAAGAGGAGAGCTGGGTGTTGTCAGGCTGCTACCCTTTGCAGAGAGTGTTCTCTCTACCTCAGCATCTCTCTTGGGTTAGGAATGCATCTTACCTGAGTGTTTATAGTGTGTGTTTAAAATTGATGCCTTGATGCAATGAAACATGAAGAAATTAATCGTCTAAGGTAATACAGCAGCCAGATAGTCTACCCCTCCTTGCATCACCTTTATTGTTTGTGAACAGATTGAACTTTCTAGCAAGGCAAAACTGCCTTTTGTTTTTATTTCCTTATTTTGCTGGAATACTTTACATTGTTAAGTGGAAGCAGGCTTGTGTGGGCTGAGAAAAGTACCAGAGCTAGCAGCAGGGGAAGGAGTGAAAGACTAGGATTAGAATCTCTGCCTTTTACTGGTGATAAGCTATGTGCACTCAGAGCCCAGAAAGCCAACCGTATCCTGGGCTACATGAAAAGAAGCGTGACCAGCAGGTTGAAAGAGGAGATTCTGCCCTCTACTCAGAGCTCATGGGACTTCACTTGGAGTATTGTGTACAGTTCTGGTGTCCTCAACATAAGAAGGACATGGAGCTGTTGGAGCAAGTCTAGAAGAGAGCCGTGAGGATAAGGGGACTTGAGCACCTCTTGTACGAAGACAGGGTGAGAAAGTTGGGGCTGTTCAGCTTGGAGAAGAGAAGCTGCATGGAGACAACATGGCAGCCTTCCAGTATCTGAAGGGGGCCTACAGGATGCTGGAGAGGGACTGTAGTGATAGGACAACATGTAACAGGTTCAGACTTAAACAGGGAGTTCAGGTTAGATAGAAGACGTTCCTTACTGTGAGGGTGGTGAAGCACTGGAATGGGTTGCCCAGAGAAATGAAATAAATGCTCCATCCCTGGCAGTGTTTAAGGCCAGGTTGGACAGAGCCTTGGGTAACATAGTCTAGGGTGTTGTGTGCCTGCCTATGGCAGGGGGGGTGGAACTAGATGATCTTAAGGTCCTTTCCAACCCTAACTATTCTATATAGTGGTGTGCTCTCATTTTCCTCTCATTAGGACCGTTTTGCTAATGAAAGAAGACTGTTTACTTATTCCAGATGGTGTAACTGTAAATGCAACAGGAAAAAAAGGTTGTATTTCTTACAAAATGGTTTTATCGTTTTTAAAACCACACCAAGGTCTTTCTGACAAGAAATGTTAATTGTGCCTTTTTCTGGGACTATGCCTTTAATGCCATTGTGAAAGTTTCCCTTAGGATGAACCTCAGACTCAGAGTTGCTACAGATGAGACAGGGTTTGTAAATTCAGTAACAGTTCTGTGATTTATGCTAATGCCTGTAGTTTTAAGAGTGGTAAAACTAGGATTTGTGACTGGAAGCTGCATTCTGCAAAGTTTGGGAAATCGGTTGAGGAAGTGTCACTTGTAATTTTCAGTCTGCCCATGAGATGGCAGCCGTACTGCCTGGAAATGTCATCGGCAATCCAGAGATGTCCCATTTGCAAGGGCCCCGAGTACTGGCTAGCTTATTGCCCAGCCCTCAAGACATCACAGGGAAAACTGGCTTCAACTGGGAGGAGAGTAGTACTAATGTCTCTAGAGAAGCATAGTATTTCAGAAATGCAGAAGCTTCTTAAATAAGATCAGATCTTTGTTTAAATCAACAATACATTTATGTTCATACAGTTACATAAAGACATTTGGCTTATACACACAGACCTGCCAGTCAAGATACAAATTCACATATCTTGTTGCCTTTACCAAATTTTCTCAAGTCTTTTTTACTATGTGAGTTACAGAAAAATTAACATTAAAAATAAGCACTGATAGTAATCTGTCAATTTTAATATGTAAGATGTGTTGGCTTCCAGCAGGCTCGAGTTTTCATTAAACAGGTGGGGAGAGTTCAGCAGTGATGCTCACTGGGGCTGTTTGTACTTGCTTTCAAATTATCTTTTTTTCCCCTCCTTCACAACCATCATTGGTAGAGCATTGATGTCAGTCCCAGCAGCAGTGTTTTGTGGTGCTGTCTGGTGTGGTTAGTGATTCAGCCGCATCATCCTCCCTTCTCTGGGTACTTTTTGGGTGGATGTGAGCTCAAATGAGGTCTCGATTAGTTCTAATGTAAACTTTATCATTGCAGCAAACTGGAAGCTCCATATGGTGGCCTGAAGTAGTCAGACTTGCTTTTTGAGAAGCTGAATTCTGAACCTTTGTAAAACCTTAATATTTACAATTGAAATCCAGATGTTCAACCCACAGGCTGCTGTCCTGCTCACAGTGGGCTCGAAGGGTGATGATAGAAATGTATCAGTTTCACAAAATAATTTGGACTACTGTTGGTTTCTAGGGTTTAATGCATCTCCAGGGGAAGCCTGTGTGTTCTTTTGACCCAGAAGGGTTGATTTTTGCTGCTGGAGTCAATTCTGAAATGGTGAAGCTTTATGATCTCCGTTCTTTTGACAAAGTAAGCTGCGCTAACTTGACTTCTTACGCTTTTTAGCTTGCAAGAAATAGTCTAAACTCAGTGCACAGAGGCTGGATTTCTTTACCCCAGCTTACTGTCTGTCGTAGCTGCTTAACAGTACATGTCTCTCAGACAGAAAAGAATACATGCTGTCACCAAATCCTGAAACCCATTCTTGAACCAATGTTAAAGTTTACTTCTGCTAAGTCTTTAACCTGTTCCAGACTCTTGTTTAGGCTTTTTGTTGTTGTTGTTGTGATTTGGGGTTTGTTATGTTTTCCTTACTGCTTTTTCTGGAAGAACACTAGCAGAGATTGGCAGAAAGAATGGAAATTTCAAAGAAAGCTATAATTGGTTGGCAGCTGAACTGGCTGAGCACTAAGCTTAGTTAGTTCCATGGGTTTCAAAAAGTTGGATGACAATAGCACTGGCTTAAGCTCTTTCTCTAACCTCACTTAGCACCCTCGTGTGAAAACATCCTACTTTAAATTAATTTCTGCTGTTGAATGTGTTATAGAGTATGGGATTGTTGGATGTTGAAACACCCCACTGTGGCTCTCACTGTGGCTGTGGAAACTGTGGATTCATACTTTGAATATTACACATGCAGCGGCATCTTTTCACTATGACACTTTCCTTTGGTATCTTAGAACTAAATACTAAGTATCTATAAATACTAAATAATTGAAAAGTCCAACTGTTTCCTCTGCTAAAGGCTAAAATCAGCCCCTTAACAGCAAAGCATGCAGAGTCTGCATCCTATTTCCCGTTTTTCTTTTGAAGGGGCCATTTGCTACGTTTAAGATGCAGTATGATCGAACTTGTGAGTGGACAGGCCTGAAGTTCAGTAACGATGGCAAACTCATCCTCATATCAACTAATGGAGGGTTCATTCGGCTGATTGATGCTTTTAAAGGAGCTGTCCTGCATACATTTGGGGTGAGCATGCTGCCTGGGCTACCTGCTTGAAATTTGGTGTCAGTTTTGGGTGCAGGTGCCCTTTCGTTGTGGGGTGACTGTGGACACACTCTTCACTACATATTCTCCTGTTTCGTATCACAGGGTTATAACAATAGTAAGGCTGTCACACTGGAGGCATCATTCACACCAGACTCTCAGTTCATCATGATAGGTAAGATAATTCCTCTTGGAAAGAATTTCAGTGCTCTGAAATTAGGTGTGTTACATAGGACTAAAGTTGTCTGTGGGAAGCAGAATATATTTAAATAATACAATGTAGCTGTCAATTTTCCGTACATTGGCAGTTTTGTTTTGTTAGTTCACTCAGCATTTTCTAGGCTGAATATAGATGCACCTGCAAAAAGACTTTTAGTTTTTCCTTTATGTAGGAATACTATTCCAAAAAAGATAAGAAACCAACAAACTGTGGTGATGTGTGGAGACCTGTCATATAAATTATGTCAGTGATCCTCATCCTGTGGCCAGGATGCACTCATGGCCTGCCTCAAAGCATTTCAGGGCTGTCTGTTGTGGTCCGTCTTCCACTGCCTGATGTGCTTGGATGATGGGTCTCGTAGCCTGGTGTGTTTGTACAGTTCTCAGGGATAGTCCTGCACCAGTGACATGTGGGGCAGCTGCATTTTGTTCATGTGGCTTTTGTAAAGCCCTGCCCATAGAACAAGCTCTGCATAACCTTGATAGAAGCAGTAAGCATCAGCCTCGTGGCTCTCAGTGTATGATTCCTCTGGCCCAGGCCCCCTCCTCACCCCTATAGGGAGAGGGACTCCTGAGTGAAATAGGTGGCAAAAAGCAGTTGCAGCTGCTGTAAAGCCTGATGATGCTGGTTGGTCACCCCAAGGTAAGCATTTCAAGCACTCTGCTGCCCAGCAGGACCTGTGAACACAGGTCAGATGCATCCGTGTAGTGCTGCCCTCTTCTAGCACTTCTTTTTTGTTCTTATTTATATGGCTGGTACATCAAATGTTTAACTGTGGTAATTGGTATCTGGATCCTCATTTTTCCTGGATGAGTGATGGTCTTAGCAAAACTTCTTTTTCTTCTTGTAGCTGAGAACTTCCTGGTTGCAGAGAAGGGTGGGGTTCTTTGTTGGGTCTGTCTCTGGAGAGCACTTTATTGCACGTATTTACCTTCCTGTTGTGCTCTCCCAAATGAAAACTATATAGTGGAGGAAGTTCCAGAACACTTATTTCTGTTCAGTTTTTACATGTGGTTAAGTTATAGCTTGTGCTTTTTAATATTTCCTCCCTGAAAGGCTATAACTACAGAAGCAGAAGAAAATTCCTTGCATTTTTTATTAGTAATCTTATTTAAAACGAGGCTAAAGAAGAATTGAGTTACAAAAATGTTAAGTCCCCAGCCTCAGAGTTCACAAAACACCATTTTAAGGGAAAAAAACCTGTTCTGTTGTAGCAATGTGGAGAGTTGACATCTCCAATGAAGCTTCTGGTATTTGGTCTAGCGCATTGCAGTGTGATTACCCTCAACAGTAAAGCCTTTGATTTGATTCTGTGCCTACCAAGTGCAATACTTATCTCCTGTGTCTGAACTGAGAACTTGTGTGAACAATGACTCTCGCACCAGCTTTTGGCCTCTTGCACACTGATGCACTTTGGCAAGGGTCTTTCCCTCTCAGCTGGATGCTGTCAGCTCTCCTTATCCTCTGGGTGACCGTAGCTGTTAACCCCTTCACCAGAAGAGCATTGCACTGGGATGTGTAGTTGAGTGTCTGCAGTGCAAAGATACAAACTGCCGTTTAGATACAGGTGTGTAAACGCAAGTGACTTTTTGTAAATGCCCTAGTGATAGTTTTTAAGCTTAAGCTATGAAGATGAGGCATGCTCGTTCCTGCAGTTCTCTGGCAGAAAAGAACATAATGTTCTTCAGTTTCACTGCTGGCCTCTCCCATGTATCTTCACTATCTTGTTTTCCACTCCTGCCTGCAGGTTCAGAGGATGGGAAGATTCACGTTTGGAATGGGGAGAGTGGGATGAAGGTGGCTGTGCTGGATGGGAAACACACAGGCCCTATAACTTGTCTGCAGTTCAATCCAAAATTCATGACGTTTGCTAGCGCATGTTCCAATATGGTAAGGAAAGTGTTTTAAGTTCCTCCTTACTCAATATGGTGCTGACCTTTTTAGCAATGGATGCAATAAGGCCCAGTGCCACTGATGGGTATTTCCATGGACTTCGATGAGAGCCAGGACCCTGTTCCCTGCCTGTTATGCTTTGATTGCACCTTACCTGGCAAGTAGGTACATGGGGCAGCAGACCTGGCAAGCCAGTGTTTGAACATACACATGAAAGCAGAACAGTGAGTGATTGCACACGCAGAAGTACGAGTTCTTTAGGTCACTGCACATGGCTGGTGTTTTCAGTTTATGTAAGACTGGTTTGCTCTGGAGAACATGCAGGGATTTTAAGCTGCTGGGAGAGAGTTACTGCCTCTTTGGTAGTCTCCTTGTATGCTTGCAGAAGGTAGCAGAGATCAGCTCCTGCAGTGTGCTGTAGGAAAGATTTCTGTTCTGTAAGAGGTGTTTTTTCTTTCCTTTTCTGTAGGCCTTCTGGTTGCCAACTATCGACGACTAATTCCTACACTGCAGCTGCTGGCAGATGACTTCCATACTGCTAACAGCAGCACATCACTGCAAGCATAATATTGGAATTGCCTGAGTCTCCTAGACTGCATTCCTGTTCTTGAGTATGTTTCCATATGTCTTACCTTGATTTGCCGCATTCCTTTGCAAGGACTCCTCTACTCGGCCTCCCAGCATGTTCAAAAGCAGCATGCTACACGACCTTACCTTCCAGTCCGTGCCCAGCAGGCTTCAGCTGAAGTTGGAACTGACACAGTATTATTTCTAAGAGCAATGAAGTCTGTTTTATTTACAAAATGTTTGTGGCATTTTTTTTAAGCTGTAATTGTGTGTTTTCCTTCTGTAAGTGCACAAGGCTATTGATCTTCCAAGGTGGAATGTGCAGTTCCTTCTTATAAGTGCAAGTTTTTCACATCTGGGATCTCTGGTTCCACTGCAGTCCACAGATGGGAAGTTACTTCTGTGCCAAATGTGAACACTGACAGTTTTCAACTTACACAGCAGATACTGGATTCTCTTGCAGTGGAACATGCACCAGAAGAGTGGGTGACTGTAAATATATATGATACAACTTGTCATCCTTTCATTTGGTGATTTAGTGTGCAACAAACCATACAGGTTTTGTCCACTGCCAGAGCTTGCCAAAGCCTCCTTGCTGTTTGCTGTACCAGCATCCTGGAGGGCACAGACAGTGCTGATGAGGTCCGGCTGGTGTCCCAAGCAATAAAGGAGTCTGTCAGCAGGAAGGTGGAGAAACCAAACTGAGACTTAAAAGCACAGATTGCCTGTGCATCTTCCTTATGTATCATCTTGCCTGTTCCTATTTGTAATTACCTGGGGGAGGGGAGGGCAGTGGAAATGGGCCATATTTTTTTACTTTTAGATATTAAAGAAAATGATGTGGGCCAGTATTGCGGGGTGCCCAGGCTGTTTACCTCCACCAGTGCAGTTTTCCCCACCTGGTTTGTAAATAAGCCCCATTAAATTTTTCCCACACCTGGCATAGGCCTGCATCCCATTTATAAAACTGACATACAGTTAGTTCATGCATTTTGTTACAGGTCCTGCAGGTTTTGGGTGATAGCTCTGAAAGAGCAATGCTTCCTTTAGCAGATGGTGTCTTCAGAATTGAGTTTTACAGATTTTACCTGTGACTGCTGACTCTGCTTTGCTGTGGCCCTGCTCCAAGGAACACGCCTGCACAGAGCTGGAAGAGACGTGCTCCCCTGCGCCAGAGGGGATTGTGGGCGAGTGGCATGGAAAGCTTGGCAAGCTGGTCTTCATGCCTGGTTCCAGTTTCCTTTTCCTGCAACGCTGCAGTGATTAATGCATCTGCCAGCAGGCTGGGACAGGCTCGGCATAAATGTTGTATTCATTGTGTTCTTGCCTTTCCAAACAGACTTGGGTTTATGTGCTGTACCACAGCTTGGAGAGTCGATTCTTTCCCTCACCCAGTCGTGTGCTTTTGCCATTCCTAAATGTAATATGCTGGTAAGTTGGCAGGCAGAGGAATGGGCATGTTCTCCTTGCTCTCAAGTGCCAGTCTACTGGAGAGCCATGCACAAGCATTTTACCTTGGGTCGGTTGTCTGGATGTTTCCTGTTGCAGCAAAGTTCATCTCAGCTGTGGGGCCCTGTGTATAATCAGAGCACGTCTCCCTGGAAAAGTCAATCAGCTTGTAGGAGAGCTGCTTCTCTTTTATTTTTTCTCCACAGCCCTTGTCAGTGGGAATGTGCTGTGCTAAGAGCTGGGGATGGGGAGTGACCATTTCTCCACGGCTGGTTCCTTTAAAGCAGCAGCGGGTGCTGAGTTGCAGTGTTCCTCTGTGACAGTGGGCAGGAGGACTGGCACTGGCCACTCCCGTAAACCTCATGTTTGGATCACTCCTGTGGTTGAAGCTCCTCCGCAGGCTCTGTGGCTTGCCTCTGCTGATGTTGCCACATGATTTGAGAGCCATTCCTAATGGCACAGTTCTGCAGTGTTAGTTTGCCATCCTCCAGACTGAAGGAGGGAAGGGAACGGTGGACTGATGTTTTCCATCTTGCCAAACAGGCCTGCTGTTGGACATGCAGATGAGATTCATGCTGTCCCACTGTCAGCTATAAATGCCCAGCAGGAAGGGAGATGGTCATCTCTGTCCTCCCAGTTGACTGCTTTCCATAGCCGCCTCTTCAACTCAGTATTGTTGCATTTCAGGCTGCTTGGTGCTATTTTACCTTTGTTGGTGTTTCTGTAAGCAGCCATATTTTGCAGTGGTTTGTATCATTACAGGTATTTGGGGTTTGTATTGCATTTTAAGAGTTAAACTTTCAGTAGCAAATCATCTTTCAGGGTTTTACCAAGTCTGTTGCTTGAGGAAGTGAGCAGACAGGGAAGCGTTTGGAAGTCTTATTCTAAAAATGCTCTTTGCTGATGTGGTTCGAGCACTTGTCTAAAGACTATGCTTCAGCTATCTTCCACTTGCCGTGGTGTAAAACATTGTGCATTGCAGCATGAAATCTTAAAGAAAAGGAGGAGCAAAAGACTGATCTAGGAGGACACATACTTGAAGAACATCAGTGCTTTTGGGAATGAAAATAAATTTACAGGTTTGTGTACAACACAGCATTAATGCCTAGTTGAAAATTAAGTCATTCCTAGGGCCAATTGCTGCCCACAGAGGCATCTTGTTTGGTTGATGTAGCACTGAGTGTTTTCCACCTGCCTTTAAAACAGGGAAATGTGCCAAGTATTGTCGGGTAACTGGAGTATCATGTGTTGCTAGAAGATTAGATGGGAAAGGTGAATAAGGCTTTTAGCGTCCATGTGTTTCTCTGAAGATCTTTCTTCAGAACAATGTGGAATTGTGACTGAAGAGACCACCTCTAAATACGTAGCGGTGGTGGCTGAGCCACATCTGCTTGGGCTGTAGGAGATCTTGGGTGTAATTCTCTTCTCAGAAGTTAATCTTTGAGAGATTTCTCTTTAATTGAGGCTGCCATGTCCTCAGTTCATGTCCCAGCCCCTGCTCTGGGGGGACACAGCAACAACTGGGTGAACAAATTTGGAAGCAGCAGTGTATCTTTTCCAATGCCTCTTGACTACCTTTGCACTTTAAGAGACCTCACCTTGGTTTTGGGTCAGGGGCGAGGATCCTGGTGAGCCTTTTGGAAACTGGTCTCTTTGGTCATGAGCTGGTTGTGGGGAGTTTGACTTCTGGGTGGTATCTGCCAGATGGGTGTAAATACATAAAGTCAAATTATGCTTTGTCACAAAATACTACGTATGTGGAGAATTCAGTGTTGTGGCTGTTAATAAATATTTTGTAGAGACATCCCTTGAGTGCTGTAAATTCTGCATTTGTTTGCTGTGGTACAACTTGCTGGTTTCTTAGAGGGGTAATGGGAAAATCATACTTGTTTTTTAAAGGCTCCTTAATTTTGGAAAGTCAGAAGCTCTGTAGTGGAACTTGTGAGCTATTCAAACATAAATTGTCCATTTAAAGAGGTTTTTCTTGCCTAGGAATGTGTCAGGATAGGGAAGACAGTGGTCTGGAGGGAAGAGCAGAGCCCTTTCTCACCAGGAAAGTGGGGAAATAGCTGCCCTGTTTGGAGTAACAGGAGACCTGGATCATTAAAGTCAATGTGTGTGTGTATATATAATTACAGCAGCAGTTAAGGGGGTCAGCAGCCAGCACCAAGATAACATGGGTAAAATCCTGTGCATTGTTTTCAGGTTAAACTTTCAGGGGGAAAAGCAAAACTGGAGAGAAATGGGTTTTGTTTTATCCCTTGAACCACGAGCAGGCAGCTGAAAGGCCTCCTCATTCCTGGGTCCAGGCCTCCCACTGCAGGAAATTATCTATTGACACCTAGTCAATAGATGGCGTGGTCCTGCTGAGGGAACACTTCGAGTGACCAACCAGGTTTTGGCAAAGACAAATCCAAAGCAAAACTCCCTGCGATTTTCTAAGGCTGTTTTTCTCCTTCTCAGGTCTGTAAAACCTCTGACAGGAATAAAACTGCAGTAAGATGCATGGGGAAGTATTTTTATTTGGACTTTTCATCTTTGTGGAACTGAAACATGCACTGGGATTTGTCTGCTTCACCGGGGAATCTTGCAACTTGTGTAATGAATAATGAAAACCAAAGTGAGGGCTTGGGGAGATAGGAAGCTTGTCCAGACCTGAATTTGCCTGGCTAATGAACGGGTTGAGAAGGAGATCCTAGGAGTTCCAGGCACAGCTCTGGCATGTTCCTGTTCTGCTGTTCCTGCTGTAATGAGTGCAAGCACTTGAGATGCAGCACTGCAGACACATTTGAACAAACTGGTTTTATTTTACTCGGAGCTCTTCTACTACACAATGAACTTAAAACACTTTGGTTCTCATTAAAGCTAATGCTACAAAACCAGCTTTGCTGTCAGAAATTACCTGAATGGAGAAAGTGAAAGCAAGTGGTGTAGACTAGGAGTTGTCAGAAATCTGTACATTGCATTACGTACCAATATACTTAAATGTTCTTAAATAACATTAAGGCACGTATCTTTACACAGGAGCCTCCTGTATGCCAGTGTGTGGTTTCATCTGCTAACATCCTGTGTTTTGAGGTGGTTCTGCCTAGAGATGGCAGGTTTCCCAAGAGGTCTGGGCTCTGCCTCAGCATTGGCATTGTGCAGGCACGGCCATGCCCAACACTGTCTCAGCAGCAGCTCCTGGGTTTTCAGTACATCTTGTTTTACAGCAAATGGCTATGATGCTGATGCATCCAGTTTTACACACTGTAGTTCAAGTCTGATTAAAGGGCAGCTCTGGAGACTGTATGAATCTCAACTGATCTTCATTCTTCAATATCAAAAAGGGAGAAGGGTCACTAGAGATTTGAGTCTCGCTGTACTGCAAAGATTGTGGAAGTAGTACCATACAGCTTGTGTGGCCCCCTTTGCAATTTCTCCTTGGCCTAACAATGAGAAAGGAGTAAGGGTAATGCTTTGTTGCACAATGTTCTCTTGCATGTTCGTAAGGAGCTAATGTTCTTGTTGATCTTCTGCTAAGCTCTGGCTGTGCATTTTCAGGTTCCACTACAAATGGTTTTACTGGAAGAGAGTGTATGTGTACAGCAGAAATCCCTCAGTCCTGGTTGATGCTGAACAGCACCACAGCAGGGGACAGAGAGAACCTGTGCCTCATGCTAACAGTCAGTCCTCATCCCTGTTGTGCAGTGGGATGACAAACGCAGAGATGTCATCATAGGATGCCTCATGGCTGTCATCCAGCATCCACTGGTGGCCTCTCTTCTTTCCTCTTGCTCTGCGTACCAAACACTTGGCCAGTTTTGAAAATCTGTAGGTGAAAAAAATGCAATCTTTCAGTTAACACATCACTGTTCCCTTAAGAACATCATTGAGATGTGGCTTTGTTGTCAAAATAGAAGGGTTTTTTTTAAGACAGCAGCTTTATCTTTGTTTCTTTAGGATGGGGAAAGATCAGGATGCAGTTTCCAGAGTGCTTGGTGATACTGGAGCTGACCTAGAACCAGACTAATCTCAGCCTGGTTTTGGTCTGACCAGGTTCTTTGGAAAGGAAAACAATGGCAAAGCTGCCATTACCTGTGAGGATCTGTCCTGTTTTCTTCAAGGAAGCTCCTGACCATATGGGCCACCTCTTCGTTGCACAGAACATCCCAAAGACCATCAGTTGCCATGATGAGGACATCATCTTCCTTAATGTCATGCTGAGCAAAGTCAAATACGTTCACCTGGAAAGCACAGGAGTAAATTAGTGACAGTTCTTGCAATGTATGAGAGTGGTAGGAGATGACTTTTCCCAGAGATGACAAAGTGGGACCAGGGTGCTTTGGATGTTTTACATCCCCTTGCTGCTGTGCTTCTAGATTCCTCTTGTCTGAAGGATTCTCTGGCAGCATG